GTCATGCTTGGACTCCACATTCACATTGTCTCTAGGTTTTGGATTTTCTTTTGTTTCAAGAACATGCCTTTGTTGTATATTCTGCAGCACTAATGGATTTTAAGACAAACTCGTGTAATATCTTCCACGTCCTTTAAACATGGTCTTTACAGGTTTGGGGTTTTTTTAACCTCTTGGGTTTTGCAATACAGAAACAAGCTCTGAAATTGTTCTCTCAGTGAGTACTTGAAGCGAACTTTGCATTCACGTGCAATCCAGCCACTGAAGCTGAAGTCTGCCATTAGTGCCTTTAAAGATGTTGTTTTGTGCAACTTAGCACAGTATAGGCAAAGAAGAATAGCTGTATTATCAGGAAAGGCAGTTTGTGTAATCAGAAAACGATTTCTAGTATCACAGATACTAGATACAATTGGATGGGAGAACTGTAGTTCATAATCCTGGAAAAACAATTACCGTTGGGACACAGGAATAGGTATGCAATATTTTGCTGAATAAGTGTATCAGCGTCCATTTTAAGTCTTCACATGTACAATACACTAGAACCCTTCAGGTTGGTAACATGATATTTCCCATCTGCAGGACTTCAGGTGCAGGAGTCTGCCATCTATACAAAGATAATCAAAGCAGCCTTGGCCCAAAATGACAGCAAACTCTCAGTCCACCCAACCATATTTGGAGAGAGACACATTCCTCAGCAGTTGGCATCAGTGACCAATATTGCTGTCTCTGACCTCTCCCTGGGTCACATAACCAGAGCTCTGTGCCGTGGCATCGTTGAAAACCTCTGTTCCATGTTACCTGTGCAGCGCCTGATGGAGACAGGAGTCAGGAAGATTCTGGGGAGCGGGAATGCCCTTGCCAGGAACGAAGTGCTGAGGCAGGAAGTGGAAAGGATTTTTCCATTCCCTGTGGTTTACGGGAAGGATGTCGATGCTGCTGTGGGGGCTGCCATGGTGATGTTCCACAGAAAATAAAGTCATTGTTTGGAATGGCTTGAGATGCATTTTTTTTTTTTTCCTGGCTGTACTGTGTTTATTTTCACTGCACTTTTTCTGGAGTTGTAGTCAACATGCCATCTTATTACAGTGTAGAAAAAAAGCTTGCATTTAATTTCCTCTTCTGCTTCTGGGTGTACACATTTCATTGCTCTGTCATTCCCATTTGTGAAATGAGAAGTAATTATCGTATTAAATTTGACTGAGTGACTAGGAAAGATCCATTAACTTTCAGCATAAAATGATGTTTTCATGCGAGGCTCATTTTCCTGGTAGGAAATGTGTTTAGAAGGACTAGGAGAGATGAGTCTGTAACTTAGTCTGATGCTTTTCTTTAGAGACTACTTGTCCTTAAGCTGTCTCGCAATATACATACATACAGGCAACAGACCAGGATGTCAGCCATGTTTGGGGAGTTCGGTGGCTCTTGCACAGAATGAATGACATGAATTCACATGTTGCGTGTTGTCTTTGTGAAAGATGGAATACAACCTTGGGTTGAACCTTGACAAAACAATCAAAATAAAACATGGGGGATTATTTCCGTGGCTACCCAGCTCGGGTACAGTGGACTAAGGTCAAAGGCATGGCTAGGCCAGTACTGTGACTGGAGATGCCTGGAGTGTGGGTTTATATGTGAGTGGAAAACACATTTATAGGGTGGGATGTAACTATTTTCCTTATTTGGCATAACTAATTATTTTACATTTGGTTTTTGAGTGGTAGAGTGGATGAGGGCCTCTCTGAAACAGTCAGAATTTGTGATAAACTGGAGGGGCTGGCAAACTCAAAGTTACAAAAGCCCAATTCTCATCTCTTTCAGCTTTGATTTCTCATTTAAGCACTAACACAATTAGCATTTTGAGATGGTCCACAAAAATAGTTTGTTCTTGTAATACAGTCCATAGCTATTTTAGTGTATTTGATCAAAGGTGTTTCTGATTCTGCCCTTCATGTATTGTGTCAATTTGAGCTTTAATACAGCAGGTGCCAGGCTAGACTCAAATCTGTTTTTAATGTAAGTATTGTTCATGTGAATTCCCTTAAAATTTAGAAGTTTTTATCCCTTGTGTTATGCTCTTAAAATTTATTTCTCCCCCTACTCTTTATTTTAAGGTGAAAACAGTTACACTTTTCTGCCTAAAACATGATGGATGTACACCTTTTTTGCTCAAATGAGACTGGGAGGCAAGTAAGATAGCTTCATGTTATCTAGATACATGTTTGTAAGTAAGTAATGAAATTGTATTTTCACTGAGTTATGGAAGTGTATTCCTATCTTGCACATTAAGAACATCAGGACTGACTCATTCTTGTAGTGAGAAAGCTGTTCAGAGATCTTAATTACAGAGATGGATTAATTTCCATCTCCCTCCACCCTCCCTCTGTGCATTTATTCCATGCCATGTTTAGGGAACTGTTGGCATATATAGGAATTAGAGAAAGTGAAAACTAGATTAAAGGTTTTGTAAAAAGTGTGAATTTGTTATATGTTGTTTTCCCTTTTTTGTTATTATAAAAATATTTTTGTATCAGCAGATCTGTTTTCATTTTTATTGAATAACTGGAAAGAGTTGATAATACTATTTCAGCATGCTGTTAACCATGAAATCGAGCGGTATTTGTTTCCAGAAGCTGGAAAATTCTGGCCTGGTTTTAGGTTCTGTTAGGGAAGGCAAGACTATCTCTGACCTGCAGGCCAGCTTTGGATACATCTTTAAGATCTCTAGCACATCTGCTGATGTTTTCCCATTTGCAGTGATGGAGAGGCCTCTTTATTGGTGAGACTGAATAAGGGAGACACTCCACTGACCCATACAGTTTTCTTACTGAGTCTCTGCTTTGGAAATGGTGAAGGAGTTAATCGCAATGTTGAATGAGATGCTCTGCTCAGCAAAGCTCCAGGAGCACAAGCTAAGGACCTGACTTATTGGTAATCTATACTTATGCATTAATAAATACGCATTTTATTTCTTTTGAGTACAATGCCATAGGGAGTTTCAAGTAGTATAATTAGTTTGCTGTTAAACAGGCAAATATATTATTCTGTTATTAAATTATAGATAGATAGATGGCAAGACTAGAAAGATGGTTACCTTTTGCAAAAAAATAAACCAGGTAATTTCATTGAATGATTTCATAATCTAACTCAAAACCTCAGGAGCCAGAGGTTTGGAGGTTGCTTCCAGCCTAACAGCTACAGCTTATCAGTTCAGCCTGCTGGAAAAGCTCTTTCTGTAGACTAGCTTTTGGCAGAAAGATCTTAGGTAAATTATATATTTAACAATATATCACACAGTTCATATTTTTTAAGGGTGTTAGATCCATCCTGGATTAGATGATTTTTTTCCCCTAATGACATTAATATTTAAAAGATGACACGTGTATATATTATTGAAATAAAACTTAGTAGGAATATGGAAGGATAGACTTTTTGTCATTAGTTCTCCCTCAGCTGTGTTCAGAATCAGCTTATCTTTAAAATAGTTGGTGAGGCTTTAGGCTTTACAGCAGTCACCCAAGAAAGAGGTCCAGAAAGATGACTGATCTCAGAGAACAGCTGGGGCATATTTTACAAAGTTTTGTAAATTGAAATGAAACTATGACCCACAGAAAAAAAATTGTTGTCTGGTGGTTTGGGTTTTTTTTGCAAGCTTGAGTGTATTTACAAAGAGGAAATCTGGAGAAGAGTATCCATTACTAAATGCAATTAAAGGAGAGGGAAAAACAACAGCAACTTACTGCGATTCTTGTAAAGAGCTTTGATAAACTCCTGGGAATAGAAGCTACTGATGCTTCTGGTTCCAGAACTGTTCTTAATGATCTTATTACTCTACTCCCTCTTCTTCTAGCGAACTTCCTTTGATTCTAAAAAATCATCAGACACATAGAACACTTTTGCAATGAAGTGGAGAAGCAATCTCCAAGGTCGTCTTCAGTCCAGCCACCTTGGAGGAGGAAGATCCGGCACCAAATTCCTATAGATCAGAGGGTATTTACTGAGACTGGACTATTTTGTGGAAGACAGGATTTTTTTTTCCAGTATTTGTAAGTTCTGCATTGTATATTTGAATAGCATGGTTGTTAGTTATTTGTAATCTCTCTTTAGTATTTATGATAAGTTGTGACGTGGTTAGACATTCTATCAAAAATATTTCCTTATTTATTGTATCAAACTTCAATGTACATAGGATTCAAAGAGTTCAAGTAGGTCATGCATTTTTTAGGATAGATAATACTTTTTTAAGAATCTTTCCACAGAATTTTGAAAGTTATTTCCCTTGCAAATTTATACTCATAAGGAAATGTGGCTTTGTCTTCATTATCAAAGATATCACCAAAAGGGTTGAGAAACAAAAGCACGTACGACTAAAACAGGTTTGGGCAAATTGCCAGGGAGACAGGATTGAGTCTATTCTGTGGATTTTAATATTGCACCTATTCTGTGGAAAATAATCAATTCCATTTTCCATAGCCATCTCTGATGTTTTTTGCTCAATCCACATAAATTTAAATATGACAAATAATTAAAATTACATATGGCTGTATACTCAGTGTGTATTTTTCCATTTTTAATAAAATTATTTTTATAACTTTTTCACTGAACTAGTTATTCTTCTGTAATTTTAGTATCACATTCCAAATGGAAATATTTTTCTGTATATAATTTTTTATTTATAGAACAATTAAGTTAATAAGATATTATGTTATTCTTTCAGAGTGATTCTGAGGACACAAAGAACTGGAAAGGTGAGCTCAGAGCACATAGCGAGTTAAACTGCAGTCATTGGTATTTCACCTATACTACGCTGTTTTGCTTCTAGTAACCCTAGATGCGCAAGTTTGCAAATTGATGTTTTCTTTACACGTATGTTGTACAAAATTATAGAAAATGCAAATGCCTGACAAAAGTTTTTTTCCTATCCTGCTTGCACAGGAAAATGTAAATGACCCTTAATGTAAATATTAACTAGATCCATAGAACTGAAAATCTAGCTTTAATGTACAACGTAGGATTGCGGACAACCCCTCAGAGTATGTTTGTGAAGAGAAACAACCTTGAAGTGTGTTTATGATGTTTTCACACCGAATGTACAGAGAAGATTACTGACCACTGTAATTTGGTTTATAGTTGAAGGCTTTTTAAAGATTTTTATAACATTCCTGTGCTCGAAGCTGTAAGATTTCGAAGCAATCTAGGATTTCAGAGTATGTTTCTAAGGCTGTTCACCTCTAAAAGCCAGCTGTGAAACAGTTCAAATATAATGCGTTCCTGTCTCCACTGCTAGAGTTTCACAATATTTTGCATTCAGTGGCATGACTGAACAACATACCAACATTTCTCTGATTCAAAGTTTGATAAGAAAGCAAAAAAAAAAAAAAGCCTGCTCTACTTTCAGTATAGTCTGTTTGTTAACTTGTGTCAAATGCTTTGTGATTGTAAATCAGACAAGATCAGACTTGTGGTCTTACAGTCATCTCTTATCTGTGGTAACCTTTCCTTTCTGTTTCTGTGTCTCATGTTTGAGGTGACACTAATCTCCCAAGAATCACACGCCCCAATTTTTATCTAGCACTGCCATAACTCTGGTAAAGCTATTGAATGATAATTTTCCTATATGCAGAAAACCCTCTGTGCTCAGCATCACTGAGATACAGTTATGGCACAGACAGGCTTTTTTCACAGACCTGATATAATCCTGAGAATATATTATGGCACAAAACAGTTAGAAAGTAGTGAAGAAAACCAGAGATTGTTCAGAGTTTGAGATTGTTTAGGCTTTAACAACAATTGGAGGAGGATAAGGCACTAGTTTTAAGCAGAAATAGTCACCTCTGCAGTGAGGTGGCTGGCAAGTTCCGGGATACTCTGGCTTGCTTTCTTGATTCTGAAATGGGTAAGGGTAGTGGGGAGAGTAATGAACAGCATTGGAGGCAATGACCTACTAAACTGTTCCAACTCTGGGCATGGTGAATATATGTCCATCTGTCTCACCT